CTGAGTGCGCCACATTGTGTTTATTAATTAAATTCCCTGCTCTGCACGCATCACAATTAGGGGCCAATATTTAGACTCATTTCCCAAATACGCGCCCAGTAGACACATTGATGGGCGGCATTGCATTTTTTGCATAAATTATTCATTAGTTCGAAGAAATAGCAGCGATTTCTTGTGTCGATAAGTGGAAACAATATCCGTTTATGAAAAAAAAACGGAAAAAAGTGAACTTGTGCTGTTATTGAGTGGCCGCCCTGCTGGAAAATCCAAGCATGTCAAGCAATAGTTTTTGTATCGATTAATTGTGGGCTTAAGAGTGAAACTTATGCGGAATTTCCACTTGGCATTAAATTGCAGAAACTTTAATGAAAAAGTTGCGCATTAGAAAATATTCGTGTCATTACGTTAAAAATAACAACCATTAAATTCATTTACACATGGCATTTTTTAAATGCTTCAAATTTTTTGTAATTTCAATGCCTAGTGGAAATTCGGCAAGAATATTTTTTTTTTTTGCCATTATAGGGTGCTCATAACTTACCCCTTTTTAATAACAGAAAATAAGAGCAATACGTTAAATATTTGCTGTGCCACTTTGATAAATAACTTAAGTGACTTTAGAAGGTTTCGACTTTGGATTAAAAATGAACAGGATTCCCTTAAAAAATTTTACACTTTTATAGGGCTTCTAGTAAAAAGGGCATCTTAACTACACTCATGGTTAATTAATCGTTAAAATATTGTTTGGGAAACATTCGTTTAAAGAGAAAACCCTCAACTCGAGATAAGTCCAACCAAGAACTTGCGCTGCGGGGTGTTATATTTTTTCTTTCATATTAATGACATTGCACATACCCAGCTCGGTATATATGTATGTAGATGCGAAGGGCGTGAGAAATAACGCTGAACAAGCACTTTTGTAGCTGGCTGCTCCATCTCCTCTTTTGAACGGTAGCTAATAAGTTGAACACGAGAATTTAAAAGAAGCAAAAGTCCTCGCCCCCACCCCATCCAGGCGCCAACTGCATTTCAATTAAAAATAATAATGCCGACGCTTTTCCATTTTCCTTATCTTCACGAGTGGAGGCGTTGCGCCCCATCAGCTAACCAAGCAACCGCTCGCTAGCAACCTGCTGCGGCTGGCAAAAGCGCCAAGTTGGCTTGAGGATTTTAATTGGCAATATTTCTTGCATGTCAATGACAAGAATACCCTTTTTTTTTCGCCACGGAACAGACTCAAGGCCCAAGATGGCACTGCATGATGGCGAAAAATTATTTTCCACTAAGAATACGGAAAAATTAAAACATTTACGCGATTCCACATAAACACTAACAACACGAACTGCAACCGAAATGAAAGCATTAAAAACAGTGCGAATTTACGCACACATAAATGTGTAAGTAATCATGTATGTATTTAAGTAGGTATGTATGTCCAAAAATGTTCGATGCTTCATTCCATGCGGCAGTTTACCAAACATTCCTTCCCAGTACATTTGCATTTGAGTAGGTACTTCTTACAATTATCTGACTCTATTTGGACTTGACAGCAAAGGTGGCAGAATGAAAATTTGAAGAAGAAGAGAAACGGCTGCAACAGCAGGCAATTTTCGTATGCTGCCAAGCGAAAATTCGTACGCATACATTCGTTGAAAATAGCTGTATGCCATTTGAATTTTACTTTCGCACATCCGCACATCCACACCCACATCCAATGTTTTCATACTGCTCTGTTATTGCACATGGCTACATACATAGTACATATGTATGACCAAATGTATGTTGTGCGCTCCTTGCGGCAACCCAGTCGGACCGTGCAGAATGTGGTTCCGAAAAGAACGCCCTTTTAGGTATTAATTTGTTTCTGAGATATCTGCAGTATGTACATTTAAATGAAATCCTAAAAATTTGTAGGTCGTGAAAACTTCACTGCTAAAATTAACATTTCGGCGAATAAGTCCGAACGAAAAGAAAAAGCTCTGCAAAGCTCTCCAAACCAACAACACCCATTTCATGCCAAAATGTCCGGATAAAAACGAATTAAAGACTTCATGTTTTTGCAACTACATACTTCTAAGTGGAATAAGAACTGTGCTAAAAGTACATTTTGGAAGCACCCTAGTCCTAGTGGGAATGTGCCAATTCCAGCCTTAGTGCAACTCTTTCCTTTCTGCATTGCGCTGTTATGTGTATGCGAGTTTTAATTAATTTCTCATTCTTTGACAATTCACAGCTGCCGATGCTGCTGGAGCATGATAACTGTCAGGAGCGGGGAATATGCGTGTGGCATAAAAACACAGAAAATGCGTGAAAGGAAAATTCTATAAAAAGGAAAAGAACGAACTTGAACTTTCTTCTCAAAAGCTTGTGTGTCAAAATGCAAAACCACAGAAGTAATAGCTAGCTAAGAAAAAGGAGTGTTTGTATTAAATGAACCAATTTTAAGTTAGATTATAGTGGTTGTGCCAGACAAGGGACGTACTTGGGCAATTTACAGATTGTCTTTTGCGAAACGACGCGAATGCGGCTGTTTCCATCTTAGCCCCTGTGCTGTTTAATTGAAAGTGTTGGGAAGATTCCACCTGATTATCCGCGTGATTGCCAATCGCACAGCGGCCTGTCAGAACCGGCACCAATAGCGAGAGCTGAGGCTTTGAGAGCATACAAAGCTCACTCAACTCACACTGAACTTACATGATCACCAACCGCCCAACAGTGGACCGAAGCAGGACAGAATCGTCCCCAGCTGCTCTCTATCCAGTGCTAGCATTTCAAGGGCGCCTTTCCTGGCCAAGTCATATCACGAATTTCGAGCGAACCACCATTGCGGTTAGAGCCTTGCTAGCCGCCTGACGTTACTCTGTAGAAATGGCAGGTACTTCCGCCGGAAAGACACTGCAGAAGTCCGGAAGCCGGTCTATAGTTATGATGGAGAGCTCTCGGCAAAAGCCATCTCCACCAACTCTGTAACCAAGTTTTTTATCCATCCTCCAGCAACTTTTCCACCCACCCAAATGAGAAACAGTTATTTTAAATATTTTGTAATAATTACTTTATTTAATTATTCTTACTATTAAGCGCTTACGAACTATTTATTTATTTTACGAAAAAGATATAAAAATGATAAAAAAAAGAACGAAGTTGTTACGTTTCGTTTTTTATTATTTTTGTAAATACAATGTACTATCAAAAAATTAACTTAGCTACTGTAACGCATACGAAAACATACGAACAGATATGTATGCACTTTTATAATAACTTTTCTATAATTAGGATTGTATGCGTGAAATATTTTAGATAATTATTGTTAAAATGCATCAAAGGCTTACGATAAGTACAAATATAGTAGTAAAACAATGTTAAAGGAATATTGCCTACATACTAAGTGAAGTGAATAGTAAAATTTATTTTATTTGATTTAAAGTACATTCGAGTTCTTCTACAACGCAACGAGAAGTTGGGACAAAAATTTTCTAACAGATTAAAATTTTATCTCACATAAATATGTCATACGCATGCAAATCTAAGACTTTCCCAATTTGCATGCATTTAATGTAAAGTATTGGATTATTAGTTTAAAAGCAAATTAGCTCTGTTTTCGAATTTTTTGTTTATCCTCTGCAGATCTTTGAATGCTTTTTGGCTTAAAAACTATGGACTGCTGCTTTTTAATTCATTCTTACTCCTATTTACTATATTTTCTGTTTGTTTGTTTTTTCTTTTTTTAAATGCAATTCGAGATTTTGTAATAAGCATTGAAATATTCTAGCAGCAAATTTTATACTACATAGTTATTTGAAGCGAAGAGGCTCATAAATACTTACTTAGATTAACTTTCAATAGTAGTAGTACTTTGTTAAATGCATCAAACTTAACATCACATTGCTTGTTAGTTTCCTTTCAATATGAGTAGTTTTATCTTAAAATTTATTTATGTATTTATTTAATTTAAATTTTTTATATTAGGAAAATGAGAACTCTTTATTTTTTTTGTAGTTGTTGCAAACAGGCTGAACTGTATGCAAGATTTAGATATCAACACGCGGAACGTTGATGATTTTTAAGGGCTCGAATTTATGACGCGTAATATATCGCAAAAAAAAATAAAAAAATTAATTAAAAATGATTAATTTATAAAAATATTAAGCAAAATTTAATATGCACTGAATATAATCAAAATTTGTTACGAGGAAAAGGTTCTTAGTGTCTCCAAAATGTGTTTACTACTTTTAAAATTATACTACTTATGCTTATTGTAATAGTGTTAACGTGTTTTTTTTTCGAAAACTTTTAAGCTAACGAAAAATCAACTTTTTGCTACGAGTTCAGCGCCAATTGTCCTCTGTTTATCTGTTTGTAACGGGTGATTTTTTTGAGGTTAGGATTTTCATGCATTAGTATTTGACAGATCACGTGGGATTTCAGACATGGTGTCAAAGAGAAAGATGCTCAGTATGCTTTGACATTTCATCATGAATAGACTTACTAACGAGCAACGCTTGCAAATCATTGAATTTTATTACCAAAATCAGTGTTCGGTTCGNCTATGGCCATTTTGAGGGAAAACTTCGGAGAACAATTCATCTCAAGAAATGGACCGGTAAGTTGGCCACCAAGATCATGCGATTTGACGCCTTTAGACTATTTTTTGTGGGGCTACGTCAAGTCTAAAGTCTACAGAAATAAGCCAGCAACTATTCCAGCTTTGGAAGACAACATTTCCGAAGAAATTCGGGCTATTCCGGCCGAAATGCTCGAAAAAGTTGCCCAAAATTGGACTTTCCGAATGGACCACCTAAGACGCAGCCGCGGTCAACATTTAAATGAAATTATCTTCAAAAAGTAAATGTCATGGACCAATCTAACGTTTCAAATAAAGAACCGATGAGATTTTGCAAATTTTATGCGTTTTTTTTAAAAAAAAAGGTATCAAGCTCTTAAAAAATCACCCGTTATTTTAATTTGTTGCTGTTGCAGCTGATATTTATGTTGAATATTTCATTGTTGTTGTTGTCTTTATCCAGTATACATATGTTTTCAATGGTTATTTTTTTATGTAAAAATTAAGCTGAGTTAAATGCTCTTTTTGATCCCTTTGTGCTTTTGTTTCAAATGCATTTCGTCGTAGTGGTTGTATTGCTTGCATATGGCTACACACATACATATATGTATAATTATGAACGTATGTATATGAGTGTTTGCTGCTGCAAAATCTGTATACCTACATTTATATTTAAGCATTTTGGTTTCTATTTTTACTTAGCGATTTTTAATGAATGCGTCGTTTTGTGTGATCTTTTAATTTTGATGGGTTTCTGCAACTTTGTTTGTATTTTATTAATGCGGTAACTTTCATTGGTTTCATATACATTTTCTCCATGTAGCTTTCTTTATAAACTTTCGTATTTGTTTATTTTTATTTTTTAATTTATTTTTAGTTGCTTATTTTATTAAGGTATAATGCGATTGCTTGAGTGTATAAATTGTTTACTTTCGTCAATTGTTTATTTATTATTTTGTTTTGATTACTTAAATAAGTTATTTTTTTTTTTAATTAAATGCTGCTCCGGTACGAGTACGAGTATGCGTCCAATGCTCTCGATGTTCTCAAACTGCCTCATCTCTTTTTCATTCAAAAACCAATGCTTTTTTCTACCCACTTTCCGTGAACATATACAAATACTTACGTCACAACACCACCCTAACTTGCTGCTACATAGTTTCCTGCAATCTATAATCCTCAGTGTACCCCTAACTGTACCTTGCTGCTTAATTAGCTGGCTGCCAACAAACGCTCCAACTTATAGACGTAGCTTAATGGACGTTAGTTGTACTTCGGTTTCTTGATATCAGACATTGTTTTTACGAAAGACTTCGTTGGGGTGCTGGTTGCTGTAGTTCTGACGCGATGAGCATTGCTGGAATGAAAGATGGAAAGAGAGGCTTGTAAAAAACCAGAAAAAAGATCACTTTACAGCTTCAAATACGAAATATTTTTGCAAGGCAATTTGGAAAACAATTATCTTTTTGTCGAATGTAGCGGTTGCCTTTTTACATTTTTCGTCATATCGATGTTCTTGTTTTGTGGAGAGAATATTTTGTGACCAAAGTTGATTTCAAATACTCCGTTCTAGTTAGTACCCACCCACCAGATCTCAGTTCTTATCATCAGTAAATTAAAACTCAGCAAAAATCAATAAATATCTGCTAAGGGAGTATTTCGTACATTTTAATAGAACTATAAAAAAAAAAAAATATTGTCGCAGGTAACCCGGTAAACATAAAAATGCATCTACTAGCTCGACAAAAAATAAAAATAATTTTTTTTTTTTAATTTTAAGGCTCAGTAGTTGCACGACAATATTTTGTTTTCTTTACTTAGGAGGTGGTACAGTCTAACGCATTAAAAAAAAATTGAAATAGAAAGTAGCCAATTCAAATATATATAATATAATATAATATAATATTTCGCTTCAGACATTTTTATACGAAAATACGCCTAACTTTGTATTTTCGTAATCAAAAATTAAAGCCGTCTCTAGCCAAATGATTAGCAGAACTGCCAAAGCGGCACCAACTCCCCTTTTTGGAAGGCTTGTAATTTCGTTTAATTACTTTTTCAAACGCCAGGAGTGTATTTACACCTACATTTATCTAACGGTCGACGAAGAGCTACACGCGAGGTTTATTTATATTCGTGCATATATACATAGTATGTGTATGTATGTACCTCAATGTATACAATTATATTTGTACTGCCTGTAAATGTGAAAATGGTCATCGATGAATTCCCTAACAATTTTCTTTGCAAGAAAGCAATAATAGTACAGGTAATTGCATTTTAATAACGGTGTTATAAAGTTAGAGTTAGGCATATAAAAAGGCAGTGTTCTCAAAGGGATATAAAAAAAATTATGTATTCAAAATGTTGTGGCAGTTAGAAACGCATTATGTTTTAGCCATAAAAGTGATTGAACTGGCATAATCCTATATTTACATATATTAGGGTTGTAGGCTAAATTTTTCCAAACCGGTTTCCACCGTTTTTTTTTGATGTCCAGAGGCGGTTTTTTCAATTTATGGTTTCTCGAATATCGAATAAACCGTTTTTTTTATGTCATACAAATCTTGACCTCTCAATAAAAGTTATGAGTTTTTAGAAGTTTTCAAGGCTTTAAGGGGAACCTTTAGATAATTTTAAAATTATATTCTAGATTATTTGGGGATGAGCAGGATAACAACAGGATAACGGGAGGATATTTGATTCTAATAAGTGAATGTTTGGCGTCTAAACGTTGTTTACGTGTTGGGCCGAGCTTATCCTCCAATCCGTGTTCTGCTTCTTCATATTGTGACACAAATTGAGAGGTCTACACTTTTACTCCACCTCCGAGGAAGCTTTTTTTTTTATAGAATAAGTACCATCGGAGGTTTGCCGTTGCCTGCCGAGCGTCAATCGCTATTTGAAAAAACTTGTTTGATGTTTCTGGGACCACAAATTGAGTACTACTACTATTTAAGTACTCGGCTACAGCGGCAAGAGCTCAAAACCGAACGTAGGTAGAAAAAATTCCAAAGTATTAAAAAAAACTAAAATAAGATCTAACATGAATTTATCCCTGATTTTTATTTGTTTTACTTTTGATCTAAATAAAAACTTTTTACTTATTTTCCATTACTCTCTTTTAAATAAAAGCTATATTTTAGGGATGTCAGTGGCAAAAATGCACCGATGTTTTTTCTCGCATCGATTCTTCGAAACTGACATCGATATTTGTCCATGCATCGGGCGACCTACATCGATATATCGATTCGAATAAGGTTTTCCTCCACTATGGAAATAAAACATTTTGTGACATTTTTGGGTATGCTTATATAATTTTAGTATAACAAAGAGCAAGTCAGCAAAAAAAATATTAAAAATCAAAGCAATATACTAAAAGTTTGGGAGCTATAAAATTACGTCTTGCTTTCTTTGAATTTCAGACAATGTTCGCCCGTTCGATGTAATTGAGATGTCAGTTTATAGTAAACATCGATGCATCGAGGCATTTATAAATCGAGTGGAAAATTTTCGATGCATCGAAGCAAAACATAGATATTTTCGAAGCATCGCTGTTTTTCCGACATCCCTACTATCTTTACTGTTAACAGCTGCCTTGTAATTTTCGGTTATGACCAGTGTTGCCAGGACTTACTATACACATATATAACTATATAATTATGTAATAGATAGCTAGTCCCTTATTTTTTAATGGTGATCGATATAGAACTAGCACAATTATGTTGTGTTTTGACACATCATATATACATATTTACTAGTAAGAGTACTTGCCCCAATAACAAATTACTTAAGATATTTATCGTGAAGAAGCACTTAATAGTTAATCAATATTTCAGCATATTGCATCATTTCTGCCGCTAAATTCGGATTGACATATTGACCCACAAACATTCATAAATTAATATTCAAATGCAGTCCCTCTGCACAAATGTATGTATATGTATATACCTAAGTAAATTTACTGTGATTTTTACAGTACAACAGCTAATGAAATATTTACAAAACATTCGCGGTAAAAACGGGTAAGTGGCAATTGTGGCCATCACAGCCACACCTTAGCCAATTAATAATATCGGCAACCACATTGCGGTAGACCACAATGGTGTTGGTTGGCGGGCGTCACTTCGCCATATGGTTAGGTGTCAGCATTTATCTCTGGAACAACGTTCCAGAGGAGCGTAAGGTAGAAGGAGTATGTGTCTGTATATTTAAAATAATCACTTAGTTTAAACTAGTGGAGTTGTGACAAGTAAGGTAAAAGGAGTTGTGACAAGTAAGGTAAAAGGAGTTGTGACAAGTAAGGTAATGGTGCATTAAAATAATCTACCCAGCAAAAACTTTTCTGTTTTTGGTAAGCGCTTACTATTTGTTTCGATGGAGTAACGCATTATAATTTGCCTCAAGACAAAATTTTCCACTTTCTCGTTTACCCACTGCATTACAGGTAATGAAGGGAAAGCATTTTTACATTCTCTCGCTTACCTCCAATGACATGCCCAGGTTAAAGCAATGTGTTTTGTAAACTAGAATGTATGTTGTGGTGAATTTCGAAAAGTGCTTCCCAATCGAGATTCACCACTTACCTTCTAGTTTACAAAATACATTTCTTTAAACTGGGCATGTCATTGGAGCTAAGCGAGAGAATGTAAAAATGCTTTCACACTGCATTACCTGTAATGCAGTGGGTAAACGAGAAAGTGGAAAATTTTGTCTTGCGGCGAATTTTAATGCGTTACTCCATGGATACAAAAAGTAAGCGCTTACCAAAGAATCAAAATTTTCGCTGGGTAATAAAGAATACTACCAACCGAGGAGGTATCAATTTCTTATAATTCAAAAATTTAGAAAAATTGAGCAAATATCATTCATTTGGCGAAGAGAGAGGAATATGTAAATGAAAAATTCGAAGAACTTAAAACTTTTTTACCAAATGGGGATGAAAATACTCTCACGAACCGTGTACCTAATTCATTAAAACAAAAAATAAAATTTTGCAATTATTTTGTTCTACGAAAAGGCAGCTTTATCTTCTACCTGTTTAAGTTATTATTTTTCCTGAGTTAAATATATTTAAAAAATAAATGATAGTTAAAAAAAATACCTGCATTAAACAATTGTGGTTTATTGAAATCAGTGGTGGCCAGAGAGAGGTTGTACTCTGAGCTTTTTCATATCGGCCACGACAATCAAGACATTCCGCGATGACTTTAAAGCACCGATATGCAGAAAGAGCTTTTATTCTGCGCGCTCCTATATAACATATATAGAAAGCTTAAAAGAGCTTTGCCTGCGGGGAAAGGCAGTAACCGGCTTTAAAGTTTTCTATAGATTTTATATGGACGCTCACAGAATAAAAGCTCTCTCTGACGACGACCACTGTATTGAAATTAAGTGAAATACATACACATTTCTCGTCGGTAATAAAAAAAAATATTTTGAAGTTTAATGATAAGCTTATTTTTTGGGATGCAGAATGGCACACCCTAAGAAACTTCCTATTTCCTCCATAATTGCGTAAATTACCCCATGTCATAAATGTCCACATAAATACTTATTTACGCCAGCTTGTTAGAAACCCATTCACTACAACACACATGCAACGCAAACTTACCGCCTGTTTCTTTTCCCACGATTTCATGGCAGTTTTGTATTTCTCGAATTCGTGACACCAATCGGAATAGATTTTCTGATAGTCGTTGCTTTTATTTGGAGGAGTGCATCTGTAAAGAAAAAATAAAAAAAAACGAGAATTAAGTATAGTGAGTTGCCGGGAAACTATATAATTTCCATAATCACTGATAAAGAGTATTATTTCACTCACCTGTGTGCATCGACGGTTATGTTGTAGCTGCACAGCAAAGAACCACCCAAATGGCAATCGTAGCGGCCACCATCCGCCTCATTCACAGAGACAACAACCAAGCCGCGTTCCGTGGTCTCGATGTATTTGGTGGGGCTGTACCTGATTTCGTAGCTGTGCGAAATAAAAATAGAAAAAAAAAAATTAAGTGAAGAATGTGAATAGTGATTTAAGTCACAAAATTGCTTCTGAAAAGTAACAAAAATAAAAAAAAATAAAAGGAAACACAGTTTATAATTTGAAAAAAAAACACATTGCTGTCATACCGTCCCTTATCCTTTGAATGATGGTACCAAGTCACTTGCTCGTTCTTCAGCACCTCTGGTATTTTGACGAAGCAACCCAGATGCACGCTCTGCCCATAGGTGACGACGATTTTCTTCTTCAACACGCTGGAATCGCAAATATCGCTCGTTTCGTTGGCAACATCCTGCAAGCGGAAGAAAAAAATGTAAATGTTTGTGTGTGTGTGTGTGTGTGGATCAGTATGTAAAAGGAATCATAAGAGTATGTATATCGGTAAAATTTGAATGCACCGCAGGATTGCAGGTGTTGTGGCGGAAAATTGCTCTCGCTTGCAGCACACACACACACAGATAAGCCAATGCAAAATCAAGTTGCCTATCTCGCTGCCAACCTACATACATACGTCTATCTACCGTTCTAGCATCTGTCATTTGTCTGTCTGCATGTCTAATTCTATGTCTGTGCGCATAGCTCAATGTCTCAATTTCCGTACGTCTGCCTGTCTGACAGTCTATCTCTGTGTGTGTGCCTTCCAATCAGTGGCTGCTTTGCATTGACATCGATGATTTACGCGTGCGCCCAGCCGCATTTATATTGGCTTGTTGCCGCAAAAAGCGAAGACAGATAAACCGAAACCGACACACGTGTGTTCAACTTCGCATACCTGCAACAGATCCAATTCGTATGGGCGACATGTGTTCGCCTCCTTGTCCCAGCCGCAGTAGGGATCACGCACACAACGGAAGCAATTGTCATAACGTCGATTGCACATCGCCAAATCGATTTGTTTGATGCGATAATCTGTGGCAACGTAGAGCGATTTACGTGCCTGACTGATGCCCATCACCTGTATCGCTTCGTTCGTTGCAATCTCGAAGATATCAAGCAATTTCGATAGTGATTCACCATTGCGATAGTATTGCACGATTTTATAGATACGCCCCAAATGTGTGCCCACATAGTAGACGGTATACTCCTGATTGAGAATGTCAATGCGAATTCTGTAAGAAGGAGAGAGTTTAGATTTGATGGAGTTACGGAGGTAAATAAAGCATTAAATAGAGTAAGTAATAATATTAATGCAATACATATATGGCATTAGATTAGGGCTAGGAATGCTATCCAGATTTTTTGAATATTCGGATAAGAACTCTTCTTTTGATGACGACCACGACGAACTTTTTTTTTGAATATACTTCAATTAATTACAATTAAAATTCTAATTTACTAAGCACCAGCAGCTTTAGGGCTAATTTCAGATGAGCAATTTAAGAACCGATTGATGTCGAAAAAATTGTCATCTTCAGATCAAATATTTAAACTGTATTTAAATGCCCGATGTCGGCTATCGAAATATGGAAAATGCAACGCTGATTTTGCAAACGAATTCATAATTAACTTAAATGCGTAAATTAATTTATCAATATTTATGTTTTTGAAAAATTCAAAAATCAGTTTAATATTTTTTTTAATTTGAATAAGTTAACAATTCGAAGGGGTTGAGTTTCGGGAAGAAGGAGGATATATCATCTGTAAGAAGGAGACAGTTTTTTAGAATATGGTGGATGGCTAAGGGAACCGTGCGGCAAAACTAACTAAATGGCTGAGACTGGTTGTTCAACAAATTAGCCTGAGTTAGACTATTGTGACCTAATCTAAGGCGGAGCTATATTTGGATTGTGTGAGTTCTAAGTGTGGGGTCTCGAAGGAATTTAATTTGAGGGCATGCACCTGGAACGCCCGGGCTTTCAACGGGGAAAGTTGTCGAGAATACTGAGGCTGATATCAACGAAGAGCAGGAAATATAATGGACGGAGAAAGGTAGAGAAATCATGGAACTTTGTGACGATTACTACAGTTGCTAGGCAATGAAGCGGCGATTGCTCTGTTGAATATGTGCGGATCGCTTACTAGATTCCGCATCAAAAAGGGATTCTTGAACATCCCGCTCGGTAGCGCCCACTTCCCGATGGAGAAAGTTTAAATTAAAAAAAATTATATCAGTCATTCATCAAACCAATGGAATTCTGCCAATCGCTACGCGAAATTTTCATCGCCAAATTTATCGCAGTGGGTCTTTAAAGTATACAACATGAAAAAGTAACAGATGCAACGTGTAATCAGCCTAACATGGCAGTATGAGCGGCATGTAACTAAAAGTTGCATCTTATTAGGCGCCACTGCTATTCTTTTGGAGAGATTTTTTTTGATCAAAATTGTCGATAGCGAATGTTGGAATCTCGCTGCTGATATATAGGCATGAAGAACAAACACATCCGATAAGGCAGCCCTTGCAGTATTCGTAAGAAGGTTTTGAGAATTTACGGGCCTTCAAGCGCTGGCGAAGGTGAACACCGTAGACGATGGAACAACAAGCTATATCAGTATTGCACTTCGACAGGAGTCATGTCATACGAATGGGCACAAATGCTTTAGCCCCGGTGGTAACGAAGGAAAAGGAGGACTCCTTTGCACGGGAATGAGAAGTAGTTGGTTTCACTTGGATTTCGAATTGGCATGAGTTCGCACAAAGCACGACTTCATTGGACTAGACAGAAATCGAGAAGGCGGTTACAGCACCCAGGAAGAAGAAGTGCACATTTTTAAATATACTTTTAATGGGGCTCCACTTTCCAACAGCTAAGAAGCAGAAACAGTGAAGTTGGTTTGGTAAAAATTTATCTTGACTTCCAAGTTGAGGCTGATGATGAAAGAGAACTGGAAAAGCTAGTATCTTCAAGAACATATTTAATTTTGTAGATTGTGGTCTAATTACCATAGCGAATATTATAAGCAAAGGGATTTTATTAAAATTAATGCGTCCGCTTACTAAGCCAATTGACGCACCTGCATTTCCAGGAAATGCATTTGATTATTAAGTAATTGCAGGGGGCTTGCACATTTGCATCATAAAAAAAAAACTGTGTTGAAAAGGCAGTAGAGATTGTGAGATAAAAAACGACTGTCTGGAATTTAGTTGTGGTCATAGTGAGCACTCCTTTTTATATGTAAATTTGAAGTATAAGCCCAATAATAATAAAAAAGATCAGTGCTCTTAAATTGGAACCAATTAAAATTACCGATATGAGTACGGCAATTAATAAAAAAGGAATTTCATATTTTATCCTGTTGCGTTCATGTGGCTGCTGAAATCAATGAAATCCTTGTTATCTGATCGGGATTATTTTGATGAAGGCTTAAGTGTCTCAATGAAAAATAGAAAGAGAGAGAATGAGCTTTCGAATGTATGCATACAAATGTGTGTGTATGTCTGCCTATATTATATTATATAGTACATACGCAGATCCCAAAGCGATTGTGTGTTTATCAGTTTGTGCATGTAAATAAAGGCATTAATAAATCATTAAAAAGGGATATAAAATGATATGGCCAGCACGTCCGCATGCATGGGCCATTAAAAGGCAACAAAATTAAAGAGCAGCGAAGAAGGCTTGACGTAGGAGTTGTTGAGCATTAAGACTCACCTGTGCAAGTGGCATCAGCCATTGTTGGCAGTTTTACATTTTTCGTTATGTATGTAAAGTGAGAAAAATACGTTGGGTATAATAAAATAATTAAACCGCAACAACAACAATGCCAATGAACGCATTGCGGGCAGGCGGGGTGACAAAGGAGATACGAGTATCTATCCCATTGTTCGAACTCGAAACGCTATTATTACATTTTGAAGTGCATTTAATATATGTATGAATTCATAAGCGGCAACAAAATATATATTTAAAAAAAAATTGCCGATGAACGATAAAATATTACATAAAGCTGCGCATTTCGCTCACAACAATTTTTATTAATACGCGATTTAAGCGCCGCGCACGCAATCAAAAATCAAGCGGAGCGCATCTGCCCATCGTAGCATTTACATCCGCTGCCTACTTACAGGCGCTCAGAGGCATTAAGCGTGCAAGTGGCGAACGGCCGGCTACTGAAATTATTACAATGCAACGTACAAGGATAAGACGGCGACGATGACAACGAAGAAAATATGGCAGTGACGTGAAAAATGAAAATCTTCAGCAGTGGCCACAGGCATTGTAATATGTATAATTGCTGCCACTGGAAGGATAGCTGAGCGCTGCGCAGAACGCAAAACGAATTGCTGTGTCGTAAGGCAGTCACCATTACTAGGAGCTTCAGCATGGTCGCTGCAGCGCGGTTGTGTGACAACCTAAGGGCTGCCATTTGAGCCGGCTTTTGGCCGCTCAATGCACTTCAGCCCTTAATTATTTGTTGTGAATTCAATACGCCGCGAGCCGGGCGGTTTATTACACGCTACAAAAATGTTATAAATGCGGCTGTGCGGTCGAATTTGCAACGGATTGGTGGCCAGCTTGCGTACAGGAAAAATAGTTCTGATTTTCATGAAACCTTTTCGTACTCCGGTATATAAAATAAATTTCAAAAGGATATTAAAGTAAACAAAATCAAATAAATTACTCGAATGGGACGAATGAAATAGTTGATTTCACATAAAGCAATAAATACAATTTGAAGTTCTCTTAAATGGCCACCACTGCTAAAAAGTATTTCATGCTAGGCTGACCTTTATTAACGTTTTGTTTTACAGTTTAGATGCAATTACTTTTAAAAGTAGCTAAGCTTGCGCTGCACTTCTGGAGCTAGCTGTAAATAGGCTATAAAACAAAAATTATAAAAAAAGATATACTTTATAATATAGCTACATATCTATATTAACTCTTCATTTCAACAGAATTTTATTGAAATTGACTGCCGGTACTATTTTGATTGAATTTCGGTTGATTGAGTAAATGACATGCCTTCGCTTCAGCTGTCAACTGTGGGAAACACATTTAATTGTATTTTATTTTTAAATCTCTCCCTTTCTGGTTTTATTGATTTCATTTGCCGCAAATATTTGCATAAATTGTCAAAGTACTCGCTATGCACTCAAACAAAAAGTGAAATTGAGTAAAATTGCAATTGGCTGGTAATGGCGTAAAAATTCGTCAGTACATACATACATTCACATGCATGTAAGTAACAATATGTACCGTATATTTGTATTCTCAATTACCATCATGAAAACATTCACATTCAATTACACCGGCACACAAAAAAAAATTTTTGTTCTGTACACCGGACGCCACCTACCTACGGGCATGTTTTTCGACCCGCTGAATCCGAATTTTGAGTTAGTTTTGGCCGGTCACCCCCCAATTTCGAGTAAATTGCAAAAAATCCTAAAAAATAGCGAAAATTTGATGTTTTCGTTACAAAAAAAATTTGTGGATATAGGAAACGCATAATTTTTATGTATTCTGATCCNCGCTTGAGTGCGAATCGTATTAAAAATCAATTTGCAACAACGCTGCGCATTAAAAATGCCGAAGCAAAACAATAAAACACATACAAACATATTCGCACATAATAATTGGAAAAACGTAGAAAGCAATAAAATAAAAATAAAGTGTCAGGAAAAATGTGGCGCTGATTTTCTCTTTCCTTATTACCGTTAAAATGAGCCAAAATTTAATTAAAAAATAATTTAACGCACATTAAAAAAAAAAAAAACCAATGCGATAAATTAAGAATGCGGCTGCTAAGGTTGATGAGTGTAATTATTACTGAGAGCACGAAAACAGATAACTGAGAAAAAATAGCAGCAGCTGTTACGAGCTAGGAGCGTTTGGGGAGAGCCCGCTACAGGCGGTCTTAGGAGACATTTGGGAGAAAAATTTTGACAATGGTGACAGTGCCTGTGGAGTTGCTTATACATATAAAGATTTTTTTTTTATCGAAGCAGAAGTTTAATTTAAATTCCTCCAAAAAAGTTGGTCGGTTGGTAACCCATTGGAAATATCACTGAACCTTAAGCATCACTGGCAAATAGCTGTTCCATATCTTCGGCGTATTTATTGAGCTAGTTCTTGTCCTGCTATACATATATGTTTGGTTGCAGTAAAGTCAGTGGAATTTCGCAAACGGTCCCAAATGCACTTGTAAGATAAATAAAAATTATTACCTTTTCATTTTATAAGCACCAAGAATTATTTTCTAAGCCGTGTCTACATATTTTGTGCGATTTCTTAGAGCAGAGACATGCTGATAGATAACAACAATAGAATATTTATGGTTTTAGAGGATTCGGAGGGTATAATCAGAGCTAATTATATATTTTTTCTTTCAGTTCAAAAAAATTTTTGGCGTGGTTAAAATTCCCACTGTTACTTTGCTTACAAAAATTTTCCGACTTTATGACATTGCGGCTCTTAAAATGTCTTGTAAATGCTCTAACTAATTTGGTTCCTCGATATTATGCCAGATTGAGCCCGTTACAATGACATGTGAGGAAAAAAACTTTCAGAAAATTTGACTCCGAGTAGATATATCGTTTCTTACCACGCAAATCCTTGAAAATTTCATTGCTCTTTTCTGCCTGTTTTAACCTACAAAAACTTGGTCCGAATTTTTTATTGTAGGGTGCTTAGGCTGAGTACATTTCCATCGCATCGTTCAAATATTTACCAATATAATTCCGATTAAGGGCATTTTTTTTTCAAAAATATTTGTTGTTAATTGAAATTGTAATTAGTGGGAATTGGTGTGCGCAGCACGTACGTACTTATAGCTGCGCCACACATTTGCATTTGTCCGCTTGCTCATTCTGGCGAATAGTTTGCACTATGGCCAAGTTACTTACAATTGCATACATCTACACAATGCTATGCAATTACATAAATACAAAAATATAAATGTTAATTTGTATATTTTTTGTACATATGTATGTACACACGTGTGTGTATAAAATATTTAAATTATGTGCGATCTGCGTTGCTTTTGGTAATAAATCGATTGCAAAAAAGCGCGTGGGAAAATTAAATTAAATTAATGCAATAAAAAGGCGTTAATTAAGTTGAAAAACTAAAAAATTCAAAATTTTTTTGTTTGGTTACGTTAAACAAAAAATTAATTTGTTTAAAACTTTTTTCAAACCCTGTTTTTTTGCAGATTACCGTTAACATTTACTCTCTTTTACGTTGCTCACAAAATCAGCCAAAATTATTTTCTTTATCACAATCAAAATGAGTTCGACAACAGTACAAGTCCAAAATTCATTTTTTATAGTTGGGATAAAAAACAATACAATACGCGGACATAGACGGCCTTTCGCCTTATTTTACGGGTGCAATCAGAAAATCAGAAGATTTACATTTTACGGGTGCAAGCAGAATTAACACGATGACACACGAAGAAAATGTAATTATTTAGTATTATTTATTTTTTCTTCGTGAAAATAATATAACACATGGTTTTCGGTTGAGCCCTGCATGTCTTTGGAACCAGTTCAGTTAAACCTTAGGCGGATCAAATGGGCTAAAGTTTAGCTATCTTAGTAGGCGACTACGAATCTCCCTATAGGGGAATATGGACTTGTCTAAGTGGACAGTGGGGGTATTGCTAACGTTTGCTGGTTTTTATTTATTTTTTTTTTTAGAGAGATAATGAAAACAACGAAGAATTCACAGTATCGAGTTACATATGTATATGTATTAGACACTGTATTTATATATATAGTTGTTTAGAGGCAAACAAATACATAAGTGAATAAACAAAGTAAACTTACTTGTCAACAACGAGCTTAGTGAAAACCAAATCCCGTTTATAATAGACTGGATTGTTGTGTTCATGATTTACAGCTTTATCCATAAGCGGATGCGAGCGTATAAAGTTCAATACATTGTCGGGCAGATTTGAGGTATCATTGACACATGTGCCAGGACGCGGTTCGGGCACACGTGAATTGAGCACAGGTAGCCAAGCGGAATTGGATGATGATTGCTCCTTGAATTTGCCTGCAAATAGAGAGAAGAAGAGAGTGAGAACGAAAAAAGTGAATAAAAGAAATATTATAAAAAACAGAACAAAATGAACAGCTGTGTACAATTTTATTCAGATACTTAACTAATTTTTTCTTATGTACATAAGGACATGCAAGCATAGAAAGAGGTTTTTTGTAGCGTTGAAATGAAAAGATAGCAAGTAGATAATCCCTAAGCACTTAAATGCTGTTTCCATAACAAATTAAGAAACGTACAAATGGGTGACTAAATTTTTGCGCTGCTGAAGTGAGTTCAAGCTCAAGAATTTGTACTGAAATTCGACTCTGATGTTTCAAACATATGTGTGTATGTATGTATGTATGTAAATACAGAATACAAATAAGCAAAAATAAAAACATTTAAAAACGCGAAGGTGCGAAAAGTTTCAGGAAACTAGAAGTTTTTTTATCACAATTAAAAGCGCAGCCGTTCATATAAACATAAATATGTATGTATGTACAAAAGACATGAAATAAAATAAAAAGCAAAAGCTTAAATTGAAATTGGAAATACTTTCATATAAGCTCACATTCTTTTTCACTTTACGAATGTAAGCTGCTCTCAAATCAAAAGAATAAATAATTAAAAGTAAATATTAATTAAACTATAAGCCACTTAAGTCCTTCCCATGCTCAGCACTAATAATCCATCTACATACAGTTTCTGCAATCGTACGCGCACATTTTACAAATATTTATGTGGATACGAAATACATACATACACACATATTATTCATTACATTTCCACTTACCATTGAATGCCGCTTGCACTTCGTTGATGTGAAAACTGCACACCGCTGAGCCGATTAGCCCATTCGTGCTGGTCGTGAAGGTCGCATAGAAACGCGTCTTATCCATTGGCAACTGATAGACTGATTGGATTTCATTGAAATAGAAAGGAAATTCGCCGGAGATGCTGCAGTTCAATCGCGCCTTCAGATATGTGGCCCAGTTGTGTGTGAGCAGATTTTTACCGCCGATATCCTTTTTGCAAACGCGCGCTATGCGAGAATACACCGCCTTGCCACAATTGATATACTCGACGGCAGTTTCACGAAAAAAGAAATAAACATACTCGCCAATGTCGAAGGAGCCGACGAAGTTTGGTTCTGTAAAAAATGAGAAAAAAGAGGCTTTAAAAATATGAATTAAAAACATTTTTTTAGATTTCTAAAAATTTAAATTGATTGAGAGCTTCATGAAAATCAACGGCAATACACATTTTTAAGCTTTAAATATACATACATACTTAAATAGTACACAGCTTTGGATCCTATGTACAATAAAACTTTCAAACGGCTTTGTTCCTTTATTGATTACCAAAGACCAAGCACAACTTAAAATATTTATCCCGTTTAATTGCGCTTAAAACAGCTTTATTTACGCCATCTATTTATCCACATAATTGCTAACAAAAATTCGCTTCAACGCCATTCAACGTAAAACTAATAAGATTTTGACCATTCACATTTCATAAATGATGTACAAAGCTTTTATAGGCGAAGTGAATAAGCCCTTTTGGCCTTACCGAACACTGCACGACACCCGCTTCTCGATACATCGCGCCTTTTATTTTAATCTGCTGCAATACAAGTTTTAATTAATTTCCGAGCTGAACTGAAAAGACTTTAATTGTATTAGCAGCTTTAGAGTGCTTTCAAGTATGAGCACACAAGCGTGCCTACAAAGCTTCTGCTCAAACACAAATTAAGAGGAACAACAACGATCGGGGAAAATAGGGGAATAAGAAGTAGCAGAATGAATGAGTCGTGGCACCTTTGCGGCAGTCCCAAGCTGCTTTCTATTCTAGGTAGACTCCTATTTACATAGTTTATCGGCTATCGGGGAGGGTAGCGAGGCAAGAAGTTTCGCTAGGCATCCTGTCAGCCGCCTTGTTGTAGCGAAAACTTAAATTTAATGAAATTTGCGGCGGTACTCTCTGGGATATTCTCCTTGTTTTTAATGCATATAAAATTTATTAAATGTTGATATTTTTGGTTTTGTTTTGCGGGTTGAATAGGCGAAGTAACGCGGTAAAACCTTTGCTATAACACATCGCCTAACAGTGGAGCTTTGACAGCGAAGCCGTAAACGGCTCTCCCTAAGTATTATGGGGAAAGGAAAAAGATTGCCAGATGTGTTGATTGGTACTAGAGACGTCCTGATAGACCAAGGCTAAATTTTCGCAGAAATGACAAAAAAAAAAATTCTTTAAGGATAACTTATATAATAGCTTCGTTTTAGTATAACCGAGCGGAACACAGGACACTCAACTCGGTTAAATTTTCCATTTAGCTACATAAGCAACCTTTTGGCATTAAATATGCGATTGATTTGCTTACGGGCATTTATACACAACAAAAATAATTGAAATTCTAGTATTTTTACGAAGCATTTCCGTATAATTTATATTTGTTAAAAAATGAATCAAATATACAGGGTGTCCTGGACCACCCATCCAACCCCTCCAAAATTGAGAGAAATGCTTTTATTGAAAAACGAAAGAAATATGTTATAACCACCTTGCAGGAAATTTATTTAATTTTAAAGAAATTTATAAACTTCATTTTTCAATGACACTATTTTACCTAGAACGAACTCACTTATTTAACATGGCGATGTCCTAGGAAGCAGTCAGTTACCTTTTCCTGCATGTATTTTCAACTAATTTAAAAGGCATTTGGATTACACAACTTTAAGGTAAGTCGTTTGAATTCGCTTTCGAAAATTAAAAACTTAAAATTAAATGTTTCGTCTAATGAGATTTGAACATGGACACTCATGGCTGCAATCAATTGTAGAAAACATCTTTGTACGCTCAGCTACAGCCAGAATAAATGTCCTTTCAAATGTTCAGTTTGAATTGTGTACAAGCAGTAAGTCGACTGTCCGACTCTGCATTTCAGTTTAACTACTTTAAAATGAATTTGGTTTACACAACTTCAAAGTCAGTATTTTTCTTTTGAATATGCTTGCGTTCTGGACTTCACAGATGCTTTTTCATACTTCCAAGACACAAATTGTTTTGTTGAACAAAAGGAGTATACAAATTTGAAACATTTACTCATTGCATTTGTTTTACATATAGTAGTCTTTCAATTAGTTGATTTAAAAAAAAATTACTTGTTTCCGTCAGGGCAACGACCGGTTTTGACGGAAAGTAGGTTAAACTGACTTGAGGTCCATTTTTACAAATAAGACTTACATGTTTTTACTACTGATTCGAGTTCTAAAAATAAAAGTAAATATTTCTTGTTGGAAACTTTTTTCTCGGAAGTGCCTTTTTCAACCCCTAAATGACCTTCGAACTTCAATTCGTACTGGAATTTAAAAATGTACGAAAATTCTAGTATCATGGAGAGATACTATTCACTAATTAGTAGAAAAATATCGGAGTCGGATGAGGAGATGTGTGATCTCCGAAATAGCAGCCACAACTGCGAAGCGGTTGCTTATTCCATTTTTCCTAAAAACAATCGCGGTTAAGAGCTCAAAAACTTTACTGAAATAAATACTACTACGCCACAATAATAATACCAACTGTATGTTTAATTAAGTTACATTTAGAATCAGAATACTACTTAAAGAGCAGTGTAGCATAGCCAAAATATTCATAATCTCTTTTCCAGTTTCCATCAATTGTCGCGTTGTCTTCTTCTTCTTCAGCACATTATTGCTTTCATAAGTTTGCTTTGATTTCCGCACTTTGTGCGCATTTATTGCGTTAAACAAATTTAATTATCGCTAAAAGACAGAAAACTTATTAGATTGTCTTTTGTTTGGAGTCGTGACTCAGGCGCTGAAATGAAAATTTCATAAAACTAATTTTCTTAGATAAATTTCACAGCATTGTTTTGGTTTTATTTTTGCGTCGTCCCGTGAATGAAAATTGAATATGAATTTTAAATTGCAAAATATTTTGCTTCTTTTGTGTGTATGCATTCACAGGAGTCACCGTACGACTTCATTTGCTCTTTTTTTAGTTCTCGGAATTTTCTTTGAAATTCGTTATGCAAATTTAATATCTTTTGTTTTTAAGCCGATTTGACGCAAAGTGTCGAATGTTGCAATAATGTCTGCAAAGTTTTATTTGATGACAAAATTGAATTTTCGCTCGTGGAATTGTGAAGCATTCGTGCGAAAAATTTGTTTTTGTTTTGTTTGCTACGTTTTTATTGAGATATATTTTTTTTGCTTCATCTGTGGGAAGCGTTGCGATGCAAGAAATGTTGCCAGTTAAAATGTATAAATAATTTAAGTTATATCCTTGGTAGGTAATCAACTTGTTTCCATAAAATGGCAGTCCATCTCTCTTATATATATTTATACATCAATTATTTCTGCTTCATCAGTTCTTTGCTTCGATGAACTTAAAACAAAAAAATTGCTTTCTACTCACTGTCCAACCATTTGGAATCATATTTAAGTGTACGCTTAAATTTATATTCCAATCGCTTTGCTGTGGTATTATACAAATCCGTACGGAAGATCACTGTATCCGCTTTTGTAAATTCCGCATTAGTGCCCGAGTACTGTAATCATAGAAAGAAAATAATGTAAAAGATAAAGGTATACAAAAATGCTTTAAATTGTGGATAAAACAAAAAGGGTTAACCAAACGCTTGAGCCGATTTCAAAGCCACTTTATACATTTACATACATAAAAAATAAACAACGGTATACGCCATAATAGTTCTAATAGAATATATGCGTACATACATACGCACAAATAAACAAAATTACTTACCAATCCAGGCAAGCCACCAGGATTCCCTTCTTCCACATAAATGGCGGTTGAGTTATCCAACGGATCGTAGGGACATTTGGCAATACCCAAGCCGACACCAATAACATACTCCGAGCGCGGTAAGTGAGTAAGGTTGGACTGAAATGAACAGAAATAAAGTTGATGAAATGTCTTAGCCCAAGGTGATTCGATTCGTAAGAGAGCAACGGCCAAATCACTAACGTTCGAGGGTACATATTTTTTTCATCTGTCTAATATTTTTAATAACACAACCAAGCCACCGTAGCCGAGTGATGCGAAGTATGTACTTGTACTAAGTAGAATTCAGGTCTGATTAATTTTGCAGCCAACATCCAATTTTCTATAGGCATGTGATAGGCTATGACAGTAGAAAATCTTTATCTTCTCATATAAAACATTTGCGTGACAACATGAAAATAAATGATGAGATGATTCCAACTCTTCATTTTTCAAAAATTTTTGAAAGTAAGTCGTCTGCTAGGGTTCTTATTAGACAATGCCCGATCAGAACTCACGTTAGAATCCAGAGTTAGCGCAAAGCCAGCTAAATAGCTCCATTGACCGCCCAGTTAGTTGCCCAGGAGCAGTTCTCAAGTGGCCGCAGGAAGTCTTAGAACCTCTCAGTCAGGAGAAAGAGACTTCAAAGGCGCCTAGCCTATTCAATTCTTTGGCCATGTAGTTTCCTTAAGCGTGACTATATAATTGAACAAAAATCAGACTGATTTGAGACAGAGGGATATCTGGTGATTCTAGAGCACAGTTTTCCGCTGGGATATCTGAGTGGGTATCTATCCTTTTAATTGGTATTACGATAGTACGTATCAAATCGATTTCGGAAGCCTAACCTTTGACTATTGGATAGTTCTTGGCAGAATACAAATCCTTCAACTCCGACCATTCAAATTCGACCCAACCTTCAATATGTTCTGCGGACCATTAAAAAAACTAGAAAAGCAAAAAAATTAGGGCAGAAACTGGTACGCGATGTAGAATATTATTTTCCTAATGGTGGTTGCTTACAAACAGAATATTGCCCTTTTAGAGTAGGCCACTTTTGCACCTTAGGCGTTTTACAGCAGTCCAGAGAAACCGTCTTCTTTTTACTCATTACTCAGTATTAGGCTTCCAGAACATCTTACTGTCTACTCAAAACACTTACAACTTTACTTCCAGACAACTCCAAACATCGCATAATTCTATTTTCATGAGTCGTACGATAAGTTTAAAATCGCACACAAAAATATGTGTCAATTGAATGAGAACGTGTTGTCACCGTTACTAGATATTTGTGCTGATTTCTATCAGCTGCAGCTCAAGCACATATGGACTTATGTGTAAATTGCATAGAGAATGCGATTATGTGAAATAAATGGGGCATTCGTATATTTTCCAGACATCAGTAAGAAACATACACACATACCTACTTATATGCAATCAAATAAAAAAAGTACATCTACTTAGTGATGTGTGTGTTTTTAAAACGATGAGTATTCACTTTGCAACTGCCGACAACAAAAAAAAAGCCAAACATGTAATAAGGAAAAAGTAAAAAATCTGTTTTTGCACGAAATCAACGATAACTTCAATCTGTTCTCCGTCAAACGAAGCAAGAAAGCTGAATGGGAATAGAAGAAGCAAGCAATTGGACAGGCGTACGACACAATTTAACCAGCGGTGGAAGAAAGTGACTTCGCTGAACACTTATCTATGTTTGGTTGAGCTTTTTCTTGCAACGCATAGAAGTATGGGTGGGGTGGGGGTGCGGGGCGAAGACAGGCAGTGGCTTGGACACGCACTCTTGCTGGCGACAAAGTGTTTAAATGCTTAAATTGTATTGTACGTTCTTTTCCGCATTGCTTTATCTCAACCTACACTCGTGTGTGGTGCGCTGCAACTCTGTTGCAAGTTTACGACTTGGTAGCGATTTTCTTGTAATTTTCCTTTAAGCACTGATCATATTTATACTGGTACCCAAAGTATGTGAGTGGTCTACGTTTTTGTGTTTATTTCTATTGATACTCGTACTTACATAGATGACATAATCCTTGGGATTGTGCGCATTTGTGCCACAAACGTAAAGCCGGTCGCCATTTTGCACTGATTGTATGACACGAATGTGATTTTTGCAATCGAAAATCTGTAAAGGAAAGAAAAGAAAAAATAAATAAATAAACCAGTTAGTAAAATAATGCAAGACAGGAACTCATATACTATACATATTGGTATTTATGTATGTAAATGTAAGCACTTTTAAAATAAATTCAATGCAACGCAAAGCGCTGAATAAAAGTTATAGCATATTTTTGTAATGTGCAATTTTGTTTTTTTTTATTATTCCTGTTTTGATTTTATTTGAAGTTTTTTAAGCTGTCTTTTAGCACCACAAATTTGTTGTTGGCAACAAAAGAAAATAGAAAATAAATATGAGTGAAAAAATAAACAATTTGTGCGCTTGCAATCGAAGTTGCACAGCTGTTGCAGATTTGTTGCTCGATTGCACAGGCATAATGAGAAATATATAGTTTGCTTATATTTCCTTACCTAGTGCATAAATTCTCTGGGATATTATGGCCAGTGTTACTGCTAAATAAAAACATATATCTAGCAAGCATTTCAGGGGTACCTAGAGGATGCTACCAATTAGAACCGGTTCATATTTTACTAAATCCGAAAATAGTTCAGAAATATGTATTTGCATACATAAGTATTTAAACAGTGGCGGAGGACCTGCCGAATTCGGTATATCAGAACTGTTTTAATCTAAAGGCAGGCCTAGGAGTTTAACTTGCTACAATATCCAGAACGGGGTTGTGCCAAAGTTTCATGGGCCAAGGCAAAAGTGGACAAAGGTGATTGACTCTTGATCAGAGGTGGGACATGAGCTAAAGGTGTAACTAAGTTAGCGTGCCGAATTGCTCTTAAATTCTGTTGCATTGTCCTAGTTCGAATTGAATGAATATATATATATTATCAGATTTATTGGTTTTTAATTGGCCCTAACAAATTATAGTTTCATTGCATAGCAATGTGCAGAATAAGTAGTCCTTCTGGTTTATAGAAGGGCGTACGTATGGCTGGGATTGGTCTTGCAAATTCAAAAATTGGCTCCTGTGTGCCTGAGGGAAGGCTCGGCATGAATCAAGTGCCGCAGTTGTAGGCTCGACAGGAACTGCTTGTTCATAATGTTATGCTCCCTAAATGCGTGCTATGCAAATAATGCTCAAGCGGCTTCAGAAGGCATTGCATGAAAATCTTAGATTTGGACATCGTCAGTGGCTTCGTCCACGGAGCCATGCTAGTTACCGACGACCACACAGCTGTTTGTAGCACAATTTAGAGCCGGCTGTTCAATCGCCTTTTGTGTTGCTACCAACATTTCTATCGAGTCGCCAACCAGTTCTAGCCGCTCTGTAGTTTTTTAACGGATGGGGTCATGTACGTGGAGTAAATTCTGCCTACGGTTTAAGCGATCTACTCCTGTTTAGATTAGTGAAGCCAATGGAGATAAAAGTCTTCGCTGATGATTTATACTAAGGTGACCTATTAGAGATATGTGGAAATATTTTTTGGTTGTGTTAGCGCGAATAGCATTTCACTCACTATGGTCATTTAACCATCATGAAATGCCCCGGCTGGCAAATAGTCTCCAAGTTGTATATCCTTCCACCATAGTTTTTCGAAAGAACTCGAACTTAGTACAGATACGCATTGGGTATAAACAGTGCACTTTTGTGCGAACTTAAACTAAATATTTTTCCTCGTTTCTTGTTTTTATTTTACTATTTTGCTTTTGTCATTTGCAAATTATGACAGGTTGTAGCGATTGTGTTTGTCTTTCCAAAACATGTTGTGCATTGCAGTGTGAAAAATTTAATTTAGATGCTCATTCTAAGTACTCGTAAATTGAAATTGGAATTCAGTACATTGCAGATGGGTATCTACGTCGCTGGCAATGTGTGTGAAAAATTTTGTATGTCACTGGATTAGTGTAAAACTATGACATTTTCCATAGTATTAGTGCAATATATACATACATACATAAGTTTTAAAATAATGCCCAGTAGTTTGTCATTGAATTGCTGATACTTTTTTAAATAAAAGTTTATCTGTTAAGGCAACTTATAACACCTAGTGCCTAAAAGTATGCTACACCCCAAGCAACTGGTACCAAACCGGATATAAAGCACGTTTATATATATTAACAAGCATGTGCAAAGCTGTATGTGCATACATTTCATATTCGAAATTGTTTACGCACACGCACTTCTCAACTGTCGCAGAAAAATATCTACTAAAGTAGTTAATTGCTAGCCCCCTGAAGCATGCTCAACAATCTCGCTTAATGTATCATAACTCCTCCGGAGTTGTCACAACGGCAGAAGCCAAAGCGCTAAAAGCCGTCGGGGCTCTATATGGCTTTCAGATACAGAGGTGGTACAAGAGTTACAATTGGTCGCAGCGGTTACCCACATTTTGAACGTAAATTAATTAATTTTTTGAACATACGACATCAATACATAACCGGTGCTCAACAATCTCGCTTGATTCATCCCCCAAAAACTTCTCCGGAGTTTTCTAAACGGCAAAGCCACTGCGCTATAAGCCAAATGACTTACAACCATGCAAAGGGGGTAACTGATGGTTATTATTAGCCCCGACGGCTACCCGAAACATTTTTGCTTGAATAAATTGTTGGTTAAATAAATTCATCCTGGTCCTGCCCTCTATCCGAGCTAATCAATATCCTTTGATCCAAAAGTGCTTTAATTAAAAAAATCGGCTTTATCAACATCAATAGAAAGTAGGCTGAGTAAAAGCCAAAAGATCTTTCCTGATAAGGAATGCATTTTCAATAAATAATGCCTCGGTTGTTGGAACCAACGAAAAATATGATCGAAAAACTGTTTTTTTTTTTTTTTAGATGCAACTGGAAAGCAAGGTTTACGAAGAAATTCTGCACTAATGCTCAGTCAGTTGGATTTTGCCGCACAAATAATAAATTCCATAAACATTTCTCTTGCTTCGTATTCCAAATAATTTTATTCCTTAGAATTTTTCTGAGCAAAAAAAAAGCAAGCGGAAGTTTATGCTGCCTGCACTTTTTCAATAATTTTCCGGAAAAAAGAGGCTTATACCCTCTGAATAAATTGTATCACTTTCATCTCCACTTTGCACAAATTGAAGAAATATTCTCGATCATTAATAAAAAATGAAACAAACTTTTCTGCTGCCGTTCAACTGGAAAAAAATGCCAAATCAATTTTTTACAAGCTGCTCATTACAAAAATGCAAGCCGCAAATTATGTTGCAAGATTGCAAAGTAGCAAATGTTGCAAGTTTTCGCTGACTACGCCGCGTCGTGAATGCGAAGAGAATGTGCTGAGAAATAAAAATATAAATAAGTAAATATCATAAAAGGCGGAAAAAAATAAAGTAACAAATTTGCTGCAATATTTCGCACAATAATCCCTTGCAATGTTGCATTGAATGCAGGGGCAAAATGCAAAAAAAAGCGAATTTGAAGAAACAGCTATGGGGAAATGTGAAGAAAATTGAAAGATGTTGTGCTGTCAATTGGGGCAATGGCAGATGCGCGGCAGCAGCAAAAGCTGTGCCAATGCAAGTGAGTGCACAAATTGAAAGCCACAAATAAAATGACGAGATTTTGAGAGCGGGAAAAAAATCTGCATCGACATTGGGGTTTCACATTTAGTAGGTACGCTTGCGTGCCGTAGTCGCTGTGGCAGTGGCAGCAGCAACCGCAATGACGCTGCCTTAAATGCAATGCGGTGCTGCTGCAGTTCGTGAAGAGGAATCGCTCTATTATATACACATTTGCTCCATGCGGAAGATGATATAAAAATCAATCAAATCGCTGGTGGCCGCCACCCACGATATTTGAAATTTTTTATTGCAGTGAAAGGAGTAGAAGAGGGCGAGCCATGTCGAAAAATCACGGGTAATCTGATATAGACAAGCACATGCGAGTATGTATGTCTCTATGTATGCGTGTACATATGTATGTATAAGTACATTTCAAAGGATAAATGCGCTAAATTGACTCGAAATGTACGCACGCAATCGCAAAACCGCTGCCATATCCATACATATGTATATACAGTGACTCAAAAAGCTTTAACAAAAACCATGTAAAGAAAATTTACAAACTTAATTTAAAATTTAGGAAAATTCAACGAACATTCGTCGAAATTTCAAAAACCTTTTTGATCTGAATCTTTACAACATTGTGGACTATGTAGTTTTATAACCCATGCAATTTTAGTCTAATGAAATATAAGTTTCAGCGGTTGCAAAATCGCGTTGACGTCGTAGGAGACCGTTTAAAACTGAATCAAAAAAAAAATAAAAATAATTGTATGAGCTATAAAACTGCGTACCCAGAAATATTCTAGAGAAGCATACTTTTTAAAAACTTGGAAATTGTTGAATTCCGCAAAATTTTGCATTAAGTGTGAAACATTTATTTACATATTTTTTGTTAAAACTTGAGCAATATTTATTTTGAAAAATAACAAAAAAAAATTAGCTTGAAAAACATTATGAATATTTAAAAGGGATCAACACGTGGTTACTTGCTTGAGTCACTGTATGTATATACGCATACATATGTGCTTTTAATAGTAAATGCATATTTGCTCACTTCTCGTGTGCGGAAGCTTTCGTAAAGTAGCAAAAATTGAATTTGCTTGCAATGCAGCGATGCGAAACGCGTTTATTTGAGGAGCTTCGTCTTGCGCGCTGTCGACGGTGGCGTATGGTAGGAAATGTGGTTTATAGTTTTTATTAGTTCCCAAATGCTTGTGAATATACGTAAATACAGGGTGATACATATTTATGAGAATATCGTTTTTTTTTTAAGGGCGATCTTTATTTTAATGACAAAAGATTTTATGGTATGAATTAGAGTGGAATTGTATTTATCTTTGTGGCCATTTACTAATTTATCTTTGTTCAACACCTATTCGTCCTTGTAAACCAAAAAAACTTTATTTCTCTTAAACTCTACAGAATTTTTTCTTTCATTTCGTAATTGGGTATTGTTAGTGGGAATCTCCTGAAGAGAAACCGAGTTTTCCGATCGAAAAAATATTGGTTTTCAAGAAATCTACACTATTTCCAGGAAAAGTTGTTTTTTCACCATATAAAATACATGGAAAATATTGGGCGCTTTGAGTACTCCCTAAATCCTTTTTATCTCAAAATAAAAAATATTATATATGCATATTTTTTTCGGTATAGAACAATCCTAGGGAGTGGCAGCATTAAAATACAGACTTTACTTTTTCTCATATATTTGTGGACCACTCTACTGCACATCCGTACCGTTAATTTATGTATCTTCTACTTTTAAGGACCGCGAGCTATAAACGATTTAAAGCTATAGTAAAATATTTGAAGCATTTGTAAGGAGTCATATTTTTAGTCACTAATTGGCGGGAACTGATCAATTTTTTTCTTATAAATACTGGCTGGGTAAAAAGGACCGTCGTATATACTAGTGTGCGGTCTTAGCCAGCCCAATCTCTTCGATTATCCTCTTGACAGGAATAGAATAAGCCTTTCAAACAAAGCAGATGTAAGACTACTTCCTGGATATCTAATACCAATAGCTGTCACAAGGAATTATATGACAATAATATTTTTCCCATGAAGAAGCTGCTTTTATTGCTTCGAATTATGGTCGTTAGAGAGGTCTTTAAAATTCCGAAAATTATTTTGGTTCACGTTTTATGTTATCTTAGTGATTATTATTATTATTATTTAGCTTGCAAAGTTAGACAAAATTTTAATATATGTAAAAGAAAATACATACTCAGATAGGGAGGATGGCACTAGTACTCGCAGGTGACCTGTATCTTAAAATAGTTTCATTTTTTTCTTCCCTAAAAGTGGTGCGCATATCCGATTTTACCCGCACACACTTTGATAGAATTGAAATAAAGCGATAAATGGGATAAAATAAGAAGAACGACTTGGCTTTAAGTTGATTGCAAAGCAAGCCAAGGGGTACGAGTTTTTAACAGCATGAAGATACAGCAAGACCATGAATATATGTACACATGTGCATGTGCATGAAAAAAATATGTGCACTACATATTTATATGAATACATAGCTGAATGTCAACCAGCTGGCAGCTAGCAGTCGCTGTCGCAGCCTCCCGCATGGGAAATCCCACAAAAGTGGATTTTATTATATGCTTTGAGGGGCTTTGCAAAATTTTGAATTGAACCGTGGCAGTATTATTCAATGGTAACTAATAGGAAAAAAAATAAAAATAAACTCCGGATGTAATTCAGTGATAAATAATAAAACTACCGCGTGCGGATTTAGCTTACCTGGCTCTTGCCTTTGGAGACGCAGCTGACAACATCATCGCGTGTGGGCTCCAAGTTAATAACATCGCGCTGGGGAGTAGAGAGAAAGCGAGAAAAGAATAAGATGAATGAAATTAGAGCATGTACGCAGAAATAAATATTGCATTAGTACTAAAAATATACAAATGATGTGCAGTAGACATGGAATTATGTATTACTATTCAAATGGCACAGAAAGTCTACTTATGAATTCATATAGATATTGATAAGAATAATGAAGAGAATGGAAACTTTTTGCATACAAGATTTCAAATATTCCACTATCCTTAAGTTAAGTCACTCAACTATTTTTCTTTTAGCTTACATAATGCGAGTCCTTCTGCGCATTTCATTCACACTGACAGTTCAATTTGACTGTGACAGTTTCATTTGGCAATTTCACATTGGCGTTTTAAATGCACTCGGATGGTATTGTATTCTATGCACAATTTGAAGCAGGTACGATATCACATATGTATGTATGTAAGTATGCATAAGTGGCGCCGGAGATTCCTACTTTCGACTGACGTAGATGAATTGCCCGATACATGAGGAGGACAACCAGCAGATGCTTCTCGTTTGCACGAGTTTGTATGGAAAGTACTAAAATCTCAACGTATTGAAATTTAACATTTTTATTAACCCCATTTCGAATTTAGACAGAAGGTTATCTGCATAAATTTGTAGAGTTGAGCGAAAGCAATTTCGTTTTTAGGTCAAAGTTATAAAAATTATATTCTGGTTGATTGCAGACGGTGATACAATGCTGGAAGTATTCGCAAAGCAATACTCAATTGGGAAGTCTGAGGTATGAAGATTCTTTAGCCACTCATAAAAAGCAATGTTAGGTTAGGTTATCATAGCTAGCCCTCTCCAGTGTAATGGAAGGCACACTTAGGCCGCCATGGGCCCAACGTTATCCCGTAAAAGAGGTCCTTAAAAAATTTCCTTTCCCTAGCAGTAAAAAAAACTCGTAGGTCCTAGCTGTACTTGGTTGGTGGGCAGTCGCCAGTGCGAAGTAGTACATACTAAATGCCCCACATTCTCGGCAGAAATAATTGGACCACTATAGACCCGAAGGAAACAAACATTCGTTTTATTTGACACAGCCTAATATACATATGTACATACATAAAATGCCATGCTGTTGAAATACCTTTTACTGACTTAAAATACATATATTTTCCGTCGACAAATTTATATTCTTTCAAAGATTGTAATAAAAAGACAATACGAAAATATGTATGTTTTTATGTACAGCAAAATTATTTATTTTTTTATTTATTAACAGTTGTAACTTATAATTAAAATTATAAGTTAAGAACTTAAGAGCTATGGCTACAAAGGCCTTAAGCTAACTTCTGAGTTGACATTTTTTGGTTGTTTTTTAATTATTCATATTAAGAAATACAGTTGTGTAATTCTTAAAAATTCAATAATTAATTCTATGTTTTGTGTGGTAGGATCTGAAAGGTACTTAGTTGGATTTTGGTTTTGAAAGGTATTTATTCTGAAGTAGTCGAAGGACGGACAGTTAAGGAGGATATGATTGACTGATAAGTGGTTATCTCTGCAATAGGGACATGAGTTTGCGATGGTTTTATTTATTAAGTTCTGGTGTGTAAGTCTTGTGTGTCCGAGTCGCAATCGTATGTAGTTATTTTGTCAGATCTAGTCGTGTTAGAGATGGATGTAGATTAATGTTTGGGAAATGTGTTAAGTTAGTTTTGTTCATATTGTGAGATTTGTACCAGTTGGATGTTTTGTTCCATACGTAGCGTTCAGTTTCTTGTGTAAGTTTGGCTTTTAAAAATTTGTTGATGTCTTTATGGCTTAAGTTGCATATTGTGTGCACAGGGGCCGTCGTAGCTAATTTCGCGATCTTATCGGCGAATTCATTACCTGGTATATTTGTATGTCCAGGAATCCAGACAAACAATATTTTAAGATATAGGCCCATTAACATATTTCTTAACAATTCTGGGTAATAGTCGTTGTTGCTTATATTAAGAATAGCTTTAAGTGACGATAGGGAATCGGTGCAAAATTAAAATAGTGTATAATTAGTAGAACCAGAAAATTTTCAGAAAGTTTAAAGAAAATTCAGAATGCAATATAAAAATTCGAAATAATTGTAAAAAAACTCGAAAAGCCCATAAAATTCTCCAAAAAATCTCAAGAAAATTCTACAAAAATCATTAGAGAAAAGCTAAGCTAAGATTTAAACAAATTTAAGAGCCTGAAAATGGTGGAAAACTTCTAAAAAATTCGGAGAAATACCGTGTAGACTCGAAATTTCCTAAAGAAAAGGTATAAATTACGAATTCATGCTCAAAGAAAAAAAATAAGAAATAAAAAAAAATATCTCGACGAATTGATAACCTTCTCCTTTTTTTAAGTCGGTTAAAAATTCCTCAAGGAAATTTTGAAATTTACTACTTTTAATTTTGGTATTAGCAAATTTAATTGATGTCAATTTGTCTGTTTGATTTAAAAATCTAAAGCAGGTTTTATTTATAGTCTCTTGTAAAATGTCAATTTTCAATACCGACTTTGGCTATTATTATTTTTAACAATAAAAAAGTACAATCACTTTATCGAGTAGTCAGGATAAGAGACTGTGTTCTTATTTGATCAGCTGTCATTAAGAAATGAATTTCATATTCAGTTAGACAGCATAAATACCGGTTCAGCCAAATCTGTTAATTCTTTTTAATGAACGAACTGCCCATTGTCTCTTAAGAAACAGCAGATGGTAAGGAAATTGAATCAGAACACATCAATCCCACGATCGAGATCTGGTCAATGGCTGTAACTTAAGAAACATTTACAAACGTTTTGACAAATTTAAATGCAGTTACAACAACCCCTACATAAATAAGAACACATATTCCATAAGAACCAAGAAGCTGCTGCGTCATCAAACAAGCTGGAATGCATTAACTGACCCTTCGGAATTAAGCTTACTCTAAATGTATTTAAACATATTGAAAGCATTTCTATATATGTTTTATCTTGGAATTAAATTCCCTCTAATCTCTCCTTTCGTTCTACTGGAGCTATACAGATAAAGAGAATCAAAAATTTGAATAGTTTTTAATGTTCCACTTTAAATATATGCAACTTATGTAAATTACTTGATGCTTCAAAAATCCAAAGTTTAAGAATTACAACCATCTTCTTTAAACTCTACTCCAGAGAGAAGAGTTATCTGTAAGTTGCAGTGAATTGTAAATTAGTGCTCCTACAGTCCTGTATCCATGAGTAGTTTATTTAATTTACTCAAAGCAAATAAAGTTAATTCATGCACAAACGAATGCACAACACTTCAAATGACCACTACTCAAATACAAGCATACAGTGATAAATAGAAAAATGTATGCTTGTACATTAGGGTGGCCCAAAATGTATGTGAAAAAGTAAAGTCGGAATCCTTCCTGGGATTGTTATTTTTTATTTTGAAACAAAAAAAAAATATTTAGAGGTCGCTCAAAGCGCTGCAAGTTTTCCATGTATTTTATATGGGAAAAAACAACTTTTCGTAGAAATGGCATAGAATTCTTGAAAATCAATATTTTTCGACCGGAAAACTCTGCTTATCTTCAGAAGACTCCCAGCAATACTACCTAATTATTTTTTTAATGATTTTTTCATAGCAACTTTATTTTATAGGTCCGCCAAAACCCATAAAAAATGCAAATGGTGGGGATAAATAAAAAATATTTAGTATAAATAAATGGTTAAATAAACAATTGCGTACTGATCGAAAACTATTGATTTTCAAAAACCCCATACAATTTCCATTTCCCCATATAAAATACAAAGAAAACTTTGAGCGACCTCTAAATATTTTTTGTGATCAAAATAAAAAGGTTGGGGTATAATTTTTCAATATAGAACATTCCTAGGGAGTGAGAGCATTAAAATTCCTACTTTAGTTATTTTGGACCACCCTAACGTACATATGTACATATTTACAAAGCAAAGAGAAGAGTGTGATGCATGCAACTTCAGCGGACTTGAAGTGGACATGATGAGCAGACTTATGTTTGTACACAATAGTGACAGTATGTGGCTGGTTAACTGACAGTCAGATATTTAGTCAGACCGTAGACAGACATGAGCGTAAACTTTGTTTACTTAACTATTTTTTTACTTTTGATACAGGTTTGTTTTTTGTTTTATTTTCAATGGCGTTGACTGTAGTAGCAAATGACTGCTTCAGGTCTCCACTTTGCTTTGTATGGACGTTCATTTACTCTTTATACCCCTGATACGATGTGGACTTTGACTTGGTCTCCTCTGCGCGTTTTGCCGTTGCTTTTGCTGCCGAGGAGTTGTGACTTTAGGAAAAAGCGAATCACAGCATTCTCACGTTATTTAAAAGTTAATTTCATTTGTGTGGCGAATTTGTCCGTGGATGGATTCTATTGCACGTTTTTTGGAAACAACCGATTTGCTTATGAAAGAATAAGTTAGGTCGATTCGATTTTATAGTCGGTAATATTTCATTTTGTTATTAACTAAAATAATATTATCCACGTTTTTAACACAAAGATACGCATGAGAATATATGCATGGCAATTTATGGTGTTGGTTAGTGTTTTGTTTTTTTTTTTTGCCATAGCATACTTTCTCTTCTATGCGTTGACCACTTTCCACACTGCCAATCTAAGATCAGCTATGATAATGTAAATTTGTGCCACAAACATCGAAAAGTTCTCACACTGATAACAATTGTTAGTGTGAATGTGCTGAAGGAGAGATATCATCAACTATCTGCATATGTTGGTTATGCAATGTGTTGCTCTTGTTGTTTTGTTTTGTGTGAATTTTTTATGCGTAAATATAAAATAAAAACTTGTCTCTTAGAAGCACTCAAAATGCTCTTACGCTCCATACCATAAATATGCACATACGAAAACATTTGATTACCACACATAACTGCTACAAATGCTTCATAGATGCATAAGTACATACCCGGATAGCAAAGTTAAGAGACACCTTTCAGATATACGTCAGATTTCTGGGTAAAATAGTTTGCAATCTTT